GACGCGCGGGCGGGGGCGGGGCGCGGGCCACTGCCATTGGCCGCTCGGGCCGCCGCTCACTTTACATAAGCCTCACGTGTGGCACCATGTTTCCACCGACAGCCGCGGCCGCCTCCCGAGCCTGCCCCACCGCCGGCCCGCCCCTCCCCTCCCCCGCGCCGCCGCCACCGAGGTGCACTCACCGCCGGCCCCTGCGCCGCCTCCCGCCGAAGCCGCGATAGCTCCGTTCGCCTCCACCCGCGCCCCCCGCCACCGCCGCTACGGGACCGCCGTGCCGGGGAGGATGGATTGGGGGGCAGCGGTCACGTGACAGCCCCAGGGAGAGCGGCTCCGCCCCCGCCCGCTCGGAGCCGCGCGTGACGTGTCGTGCGCGCGCGCGGGCAGAGACCGTTGGCGGGTGGGGCGCGCGCGCCGGGCCTGGCCCGGGCCCCTCAGCGCAGCTGGGCCCGGCCTGAGGGCCGCGGGAGGGCCCCGCGCTCCCGGACAGCGCCCGGGGCCGCGCAGGCGGCACCGCCGCCCTCGGGGGTCACCCTGCCGGCGTTCGCTTCGCTTACATAAGGCAGCAGCGCCCGTATCCCGTTTCCTGGTGCTGCCGCCCGCGCTGGGTGCACGCCCTGAAGTTTCGAAAGTGCCCCCGCGTATTGTTCAGGAGGCGCCGGGTCACAAAGCAAAGGGCAGCGCAGGAGAGCGTAGCGCTGCAGCTCCCTCCCGATCCGGCCGGCAGCATCAGTCTGAGCAACTACAGCAGTGATTAAACTAAGAATTTCCGAGCTCTTAAACGTATGTACTGTTCTCGGCAACAGTATTTCCGCGTGTTAACACGTTACCATGTGATTGCTTTCAATTCTGGCTGTTCAGAAAAGTTTTTCATATTTATTAAAAGCATATTTCCCCTTTCTGTTCAAGCCCAACACTCAGAGACCATTGACATTTCCCATCTCACAGTAAGGAAGCATTTAGTGAATTGTTGTACATTGGTCACACAGGGGTTCGCTCAGGCCCCTGCACCACCCACCCTACACCGGTGAGAGAGCCTGAGAGTGCAGTGAGATATCACCCAATAACCCACCGCTGAGCACTTTGGCCTGCTCCAGCCTCCACATCTTCCGAGGATAAGCAGAGCAATCAGTCGCTGAGAAATTCATGTTACTTTATGCATGTTCTGAGCTTCCTCTGTCTCCACCATGGTAGATGGCTTTGCAAAGACAGGACAGAGAATGTGCCAAAGCCACATTCAGGCTGACAGCGTTTTACACTCACTGCATGCATAGGATGAAACACAGGGCAGCCATCAGGGCTTCCACTGTTTATCTGCAAAATGAGGTTAATGCCGCTTCCCTCCCTCACTGCGGTGTTAAGGATAAGTCCATTAGGTACACAGATATTTATGCTCTGACTGTTACAGAAACAGCCTGTGAGTAAAGGACTGTGGAGTATTTAACTGCTGGACAGGAGAGGGGGTGGGCAGCGGAAGCATTAGGACCAGATTCTGCAGCTGGATTTGTTGCAATGCACAAGTCAGCTTACCAGGATACCATTCTTAGGTTGCACTCCTCTGAGGAGTCTAATTTTAAGATTAATCCTAATTAGGTAGTCTTTGTGTAGTTTGGTCAACTCGTTGTTTGTAGGCCTTCACATCCAGAATTTTACTGTCTTTTTGTAAGTTCTCTGCTTTAGGGTTAAAGGGATGTAGAATAATATTCTTGGTTTCCATGGCATGTTGTTTTTCATGTTACATACCAAAAATATCTGTCCTTGGCTGTGTGCTAAGGGCTGTGGTCTCTTACCATGGACTCCAACTAAGGCACTTCAACCAAAGCAAAGCCTTGAGATCCACACTGTCCCCCACGCCATCAGATTACAAATATGAGAAGGATGGCAAACCATGGCATTGTGTTAGAGCCAAATGAGTTCCCAGGACACACATTCCCCACGGCAGCAGGACATGCCAGTCCTGGCAGAAGAGTAACTCCCACCACCACAAACAGCTGGTTCCTTTCCCACCCTGGTAACTACCAGAGGCATTACTTGAGTTCTGCTTATTTTAAAAGGATACTAATCAGTTGTTTCAGTCAAGCTTTTGGGAATAATTTTAAAGTTCTATTCATACCATCTTTTAGTAGTTATAGCTTTATATTTAATGTACCAAAAACCAGGGTAAGCTGTGTTACTCAGAATGTGATTATGAACCCTGAACAAGTTCAGTCCAAATTCTGCAACTTCCAGAAAATTGGCACAAGAGAAATCAGTAGATAAAAATTCTGTGTGTAGATAAAATTATTCCCGACACCTCCAATTTGAAATAACAAGAGTGCAGGTACATGGCTTCTAAAGGAGTGAATATTGCTATTGACTCATCTACTAAGGAACAAAGCAAAATAAAGTTATTGCAAAATTTTACAAGTCCTACACGTTTGTTTTTTGAAGGTCACTTTGTCTGGTAGGCAGGAGCAAAATACGTATACGCACACACAAATGGTTTTAAAGAACATAAAGCTTGTAAGAAAAGCATTAAAATACTCGTTGTTTTTTTTTTTTTTTGTTTTTTTTTTTTTTTTTTTTTTTTTTTTCCCCCCCCAGCTTTGTTTATTTTGTGCGAGTGTGTGTTCAGCTGTAACTCTCGGAGCGCGGCAGAACACATGGCGGCAGTGCCCAGCGAGCCCTCTGTGTGCCGGGCACACCGGGCCCCGCGGCGCCGCTGCCCGGGGGCTCGGCTCCCGGCGCTGCTGCCCGGCTCCCTCGTGCGGCCCCGCCGGGAAAATGCTGCTCCTCGGGGCCTTTCGGGGAGTCCCGCTGCTTCTCACACTTAGAGCCACTTAGAGATTTTTAGCCACACACGCAAATGCCGAACCTTTCCCCAGCATGCTAGAAAGTAGAATTTTTGCTTAACTGAAGCAATTCAGCCAGTTCTGATAAGCAGCGATGTATTGACAGTACCTACATTTTTAAAGGGGAAAAATCCAAGTCTTTCAATATGGAAAAATAATTATTTGAGACCACCTGAAAAACTACCTGAGGACTGCTTGCTTGGATTTGCTAAGGAAATAAGGCTCCTCTTTTTTAATAACTGTGCTTCCCTATCCACTTGTAGAAGTTGCCTGTTCAAAGATACTCCACAGCACTGACGGAACTGTGTATTATTAAAAAAACCCAATCAATACTTTACAGCTGGAGCCCACGTCTAATTCTTCATTTCCTAGGTCTAATTACTCACCATTTACAGTGATGCTGACAGGCATTGATTCTTGCAAAGATCCGGAAAGGCTTTTTTTGCTAATGAGCAAAAGTCGTCACTCTTACTCTCTGTACAGACAAAGGAGAAGGAAAGGAAAAAACCCACTTTGCTCATTACCAGTAAATATATGGACAGGTTTTTCTGAAAGAATTGGAGAGTGAAGGAATAAACTGTAACAAATAAACAGCAATATCATACACTTTTGAAAATACTTTGATTAAAATGTAAAGGAATATAAAAACACGATAAAGAATTTCAACTCAAGCAGCAAGCTCCTGAAATGCTCCACTTCAAAAGTCCTTTGCACAAGTGTCTGCTTGTCTCCAGACAGAAAACCTTTGCTAACAACTTCTGAGGAATGTAGGTTTTCATTCTGTCCCTATTCTTACTGTTTTCTAACTATTCTCATTAAATTCAGTTTCTGTTGGCAAATGTAGTTTAATTTTATATTCCAAATAGCTTGAGAAGTGACACATGAAGGAGCCCTGAATTGTTCTTTTAGAAGAATACAAATGGAAGGGGGTGTATCTCCCCACTGTACCTCCATGCACTTATCCCCAAGCCCATGAGCATGATTTTAGAAGCAAACAGCTCAGAGCACTCCAGGTCTGAGATCCTGCTGTTTAGTGTGTATTAGCAACTCATTTTCTGCAGTCAGCCTCACAGAAGCCTGAATGAAGAGAGCTTGAATTCACCGTGCCGAAAAGGGGTTTAAAGCTTCCTGCATAACTCAGAGAGTGATAGTTTGTGATTTCACGGTCTGCCTAAGGTGATCAAAGTCCTTACACATCCACCAAAAGGAACAGTCCTACCACCTCCACTGAGTTAAAAATCAGTGATTATGCAACTGTACTGTTAGTTAGGTTAGGAAACCAACTTGACTGAAAATATCCCATGAAAGAAGTTTTTGGTCGGATTACATCACAGCTGTGGGAGCACAAAAGCCAAACCAAAACAGGATCAAAGAACATATTTTGAGCTGGAGCGAGGATCCAAGACCAAGAGGAACATCAAATTACAGAGTCAGGCACTTAAAATGAAATTTGCATGTCATTACATTAACGTAAGAGAGCTAATAAGAGATGCCAAGCAGGAAAGTGCATCCTTGTTCTTGCCTACTGTGTTGGATTTATACATCCTCTTCTGCCCTGAAAGAAAGTGATTACATCAGGTTGGGCTTCACCATTCAAAAGCATCCAGACATTTATGCCAAAGACAGCTTTCACAGCATTTCTGACCTGATCTAACATTTCACTTCCATCAAGGGGTTGGCACCACTGCCACCAAGTACTCATGGCTATGTGGTCTTGACTGTTCCTTTTCCCACTCTGCTACTTCCTTGGCCCCTCAGTGAGCCAGCTCCATTTGTTAATCTCTCAGAAAGCTCCCTGGGTTTGTTTCCTGTCTGTAAGCTGCTGAATATTCCTTGGTGAGAAAGTACATTCCCAAGTCCGGATATGGCATGGACAGGGCAGTGAAAAGCTCTTTTAAAGGCAATGAGGCTGCAGAAGATATTTCCACAGCTTTTGATACCTGAGGTGCACTCCTCTCTGGATTACATGTGCCCATATTTAGCAGGTGTTCTTGAGACACCCAAATTCTTCAACAGACACCTGGGTACCCAGGCCCAGGACATGGTGCTGGACCTGTACCACAGTGTATTCCAACCCTTGCCTCCCCACTGGTTCCTACTGCTCACTCTTTGCATTGATTTAAACTCTGCATTTGCTGACCAGAGTCAGTTTACTGCCCTCCATCACATCTGTGATCTGCTTTTGGGCTCACAGCTGCAGAGTGGAATGTTACCAATCTCCTAGAGAAAGACATACCTTCCTTTACAGACAGAGTAAGGGTAGAGAGACAACATGTGGGTACTGACTTGCCTACCAGTGAGCATTTATGAAATTTTTATTAAATAATCATTACATAAAGTGTTGGATTAGGTCTTGGCATGGGATTGCAGCTGGACTCACGCACAGGTAAACTGACAATCACTGTGCCAGGGAGTCGTGCTGCTGCTCTCAGCTACGGGGAATTGAGGCACCTTTCCTCCTTACCTTGTTTTAATTTTTAACAAATGTGATAGTATTAACAGATTATAACAGAAACATTTGTAAGAAACGGGATGCTAAGTGGCAAACTAGCTAGAATGTGGCGCAGCAGAGCGACTGCCCTCCCTGTCACAGTCACAGGCCTGACTCCAGCCAGACGCTCAGCCACTCCTTCCACAGCAGTGCTAATTATAGACCGGTGATTTGTACTCATTGAGGAAGGAAGAGCCAAATTTTAAATGGGAAAGAGTGTCTTTCTGTATAATTCTGGAGAGTATCTCTTAATTAAAAACACTTCATTTTCAGATTGGATTTCCCATTCCTCCTCTGTGTCAATTAATTTTCCGGCTTTCGTTGACACTTGAGCTGTTTTGAACTGCTCGTTGCTGCTACTGAAGTCAGCGGAAGCTTGGGTTTGTTTTCAGGAGAGGGTGTTTAGTGACTGCCAGAGTTTGCTTCAGGAAGAAAACCTGATGTACCTGGCCACACCACTGAAAACAAAGCAGGGATTTTAATAACCGGCATTGCAAAAGTCCCTTGTACTAAGTGAATTAGAGAGACTGCAGTAAACAAATTTTTACAGATGCTATCAATAAATAGAAGTTTCTGATAAGCGATCAGAAATTATTTTGTTTAATTCTAATCAATTAGACAGCTACTTTGCCCACTGTCATTGAAACACAGAGCCAGGGGGCAAAGGATTGATACAAAGTGTATTTGGATAAATCTCTTTGATATAAACAGCTTTGGCAATTGCTCAAGAGAGTGACTA